GTCCGTCCTCCCTGGACTGACGTATCCCCTCCCTAACTCCCCACCTACACTCACCTTTACTGGCCCCATCCCCGCCTCTTCGACCTGTTTGTTTCCTCTCCACCTATCCTCTCCTCTGTCCATCTTCTATCCGCCTCCCACTCTCTCCCTATTTATTTCAGAACCCCCTTCCCCTCCCCCTTTTCTGATGAAGGGTCTAGGCCCGAAACGTCAGCCTTTCTGCTCCTGTGATGCTGCTTGGCCTGCTGTGTTCATTCAGCCCTGCACCTTGTTGTCTCTTTACACAGTTAAAGTAACTGTTTTAGCTTGGATGGTGAAGTGTTTCTTAAGTACAGTATAGCTACACACATTGTGGAAAGTGATGAATATTCCATCAGTTTTGTGCTTTGAGCTTTGTAAGTAATGGAGGGGCGTAGAGAGCTGAGGAGATAAGGTACCCATAGATTATTTGCCACCATTTCTTGCCCCAGTGTTCTAACCACAATTCTGGCCTAGTTAAACTTCTGGTTATTGGACATTTATTGATATTGATGATGGAGGCTCTGTGATATTTAAGGGTTGCTGGTTGGATCTTTTCTTTTTAAATGATTATTGTTTAGCACCTACATGGCATACATAGTCATAAACGAATACAACAGTAAGCTGACATGATCTTGACTATTGTTAGTGTTGTGAAGGCATTCTAGAATCATCAATGTTCAATGCCAGTTCTGAACTTCTAACCAAGGACTTGTCATTAAAGAAGTAGCTGAAGGTCTTTTAGCTGCACATAGCTATCTGTTGTGCAAAATTTCCATTGTATGTTGTCTATGTTTGTAATGGCACTGTGTATGTGAAGAGCTTGTTCTGTTGTACCTTTCTGCTAGTATGTCATGGTAACATCTCAGTTTTGTTGTGCAGTGCAAGGTAAATAATTAGGAAATGCAAGTCATTTGCTTTAAACAATTGTTGCTTTTCAAATCAGTTATCTAACTATCCATCTATCAGAGAAAGGTGAATGAAGTTTTTTTTGTTTTTTTTTTGAAACGCCACGTTAGCGTGCTGACCATCATGACAAATAATTTATGATCTGCACTTTTGACATAAAACAATCTAGTGGAACCTTTTGAAGAGGAGCAGAGAATTGTCTTGTCCAGTGTTCTTATAACTCTGAGGATGTCTCTCTGAGTCCTTCCTCCACCAATACACAGCAGCAGTGGGTACCGTGTACAACATGCACTGCAAAAGCTCACCACAGCTTCTCTGACAGTACCTTCCAACCCAGTGAACATAAGCACTTAGAAGAACAAGGCAGCAGATCTATGAGAATACTATCACCTACAAGTTTCTGTCCAAGCCACACACTATCCTAACATGGAAGTATATCACCGTTCCTTCACTGCCATTAGCACAAAATTCTGAACTTTCTTCTTGATAGCATTGTGGGTGTCAAACTTCAAACCACCTTAAACATTCAAACATTCAACACCGATGCAGTGACAATAGTGTACAGCAAGATGCATGGTAGCAACTTCCCAAGACTCCTCCGACAGTACCTTCTAAACCTAAGAGTTCTACCACTTAGATGCACAATAACATCAGATGAATGGGAACATCACCACCAGTAAGATCCCCTCCAAGTCATAAGCCATCCTGACTTGGAACTTTGCCCCTATTTCTTCACCGTCACTGGATCAAAATCCTAGAAATTCCTTCTTTACTGCACTTTGGTTGGGTTTAGGGAATAATCAGGTTGTGTCAGGAGGGACCACTGGTAGTGGGTAGTCAAGGACTAATCAAGTCTGATCAGGGACGTACCTGTAGGTTTGAAGGGGTGTGGATAGAACAGAGAGAGTAACTGGTGGAGTCAGTTAAGTCGTTACCAAGGAATTAAACTAGGTTTTACTTGCCTAACATTTCCTGCATAACTATCCAAATCGGTATACCAGAGGTGTCTGAAGTCTCTGACTTCTGGAGACTCTTTGGAGAACCCTGAGAGGTGAGAAATTGCTGATCAGAAGTTCAGTTTCTCACTGAGGTCTTGTATTGTGACTTCTGAGGAGTCCCATAGCACATCTTTCGGGCATGTTCTCTGACCTTCTGGAGACTGGATGGTCTGGGCCTCCATTTAAACCATTTATAGTATTAAATAGATTATTGTCAAAAAAGGAATAATTTAATGGCAGGGTCAAAATTTCGTGATTTTTTTCATAAAATATATTTATGATGAACTGATAGATTTTTGGGATTGTCAGTTTGATGGGTTTGAAATTTTGCACTTCTAATTAGTGTAGATTTCTTCACAGATGCTATCATAATTGCTGAGTATTTCCAGCATTTTCTGTTTATATTCCACATTTCTAAAGATATGTTCAGTAATTAATCCACATTATTTACCCAAATTTAGCATAAAATTTAACAAACTGAAAATACACCCTTTTTAACTTTTTTTAATCAGTGGATGTTTAGTTCAAGTATGATCAAATGCGTTTCATTTTGTATGGCTTATTCACTTTCAAAAGTGTGTGCAAGTAAATTTGGAAGCCTGATGTAAGTATTGGTAAAGACCATTTTATATTCACATTATAGAAACTTTAAAATTTGACCATATCTGTTAATGCTGAATGTTATGATGTATAATTGGTAAAACATTTCTTGAGGATTTTGAAGGGAATTATATACAGTTAACTTTTAACGTACTTCTGTGCTTTTTTTTCTCTAAGTGACCTCATGTTTGCAAAGGCATTAATAATTAGAAGCCTTTTTCCTAGAATTCAGAAGCCTGAATCTCTGACTGTCCCTGACTCTACAAACTTACCTAGTAGATTATTCCAAATATTTATCACCTTTAGTGTAAAGAGATATTTCTAACATCTGCTTCAAATTTATGTCCTTGCGTTCTACAGCCCTGACTAACCTTTAAGCAATGTTTTTGATTCATCTTATCTACATCATTATTGTATAAACCTGAGTGAAATTCCCCCATCCATATCTTTTCTGATTCCACGCTTGCACATCTTTACATCAAATTATTTAGAGAGATTTAAAATCTGCAATTACTAATTTTTTCAAGATAATAAATGAGTCAAAGGGTGGAGGAAGGTGGGGGGAGGGAGAGAAGGAATGACTCTTAATGCTTATCTTGTTTTCCAGAATTCCTTTCAAGGATTTCACACTAAATAGGTTCCTTTGAAGCCTGGTAACCTGCTATTTAGTTGAAGTATAGCAACTATTCTTCGTGTTGCAACGTTTTACAAACAATAGTTGGATACATAACCAATTAGTATGTTATTAGGTGGAGATAGTTGAGCTGGAGGGAGAAATGTTGACTTTAATGTGGATTTTAAAAGAAGTTTCATCTTACAAAGAAAATTTGACCACTTTTTAAATCTAAAAACAGATGCTGCGAAGGTCTTAAATCTTTGTCACGGTTTTCCAATTTAATACATATTTTGTGTTGCCCCGAACTATTTGTTAACAATCTATGTTCTAAATGTTGCAGATGGGTATTAATTGGCATTCTTACTTTGAGACGGAGGTATAGTTCAAAACACAGGGGCAGAAGTAGGTCATTTGGCACTGAATCCACTCTGCCGTTCATTGAGATCATGGCTGATTTGATAAACTTAACTTCAGTGTCCTGCAGAATCTGGCCATCTCAACCTTGAATATACTTAGCATCCACAGTCCTCTGTGGTAAAGAATTACACAGATTCTCCACACTCTTGAGAAAAGAAAATCCTATTCATTCCTCCCTTAAATGAGTGACTCCTTACTGAGGTTATGCCCTTTGGTCCTTGATTCTCCCACCAGGGGTAAGAGGCCCTTGGCATCTAGCTTGTCATGTCTTCTAAGAATCTTATATATTTCAATAAGGCCTCCTCTCATTCTTCTAAACTCCAGTTAATACAAGCCCATTTTTATATTAATCTCATTTATACAGTTTCCATAACCTTGCTGTTTTTGTCAGGCAGTTCTTTGGTCCAGGCTAATGCCCTGAGGGCACATGTTCAAATCTCGCCATAGTGAAATTTGAATTCAATTAATTAAAAATAAATCTGGAATATAAAGCTAGTCTCAGTGATTGTGCCACAGGACGACCACCAATTGTGGAAAAATCCATTCGATTTACACATGTCCAATATATCTGCCAACCTTACCTAGTGTGACCTACCTCCAAGTCCAGTTTATCCTTAACTGTCCTCTGAAATGGCTTAGCAACCCATTAGGTTTAACAGAATTAAGGATAGGCAGGGATACCCACGTCAGATGAAACAATTAAAACTTGGAGGTGAACATCCAGCAAAGATTCATGCTGCTGTGTCACTGATTTTTTTTTACTTAGGTTGTAACAGTTTTTCATGCATTTAAGAATAGGGCCACACAACTTCACCACAGATTCTTAAATACATGTTTGCTATTGTATAATATATTCAGTGCAGAAACATGCTGTTTCACACAACAGGTGCACACCAATTTTTCTTTTCTGCATGAGCATCCTCCTATGCCTCCTTCCTTTAACCCCGTTCACTATTCCGTTTACCCTCATGTGACTTCAGGCTTCTGTTTAAATGCATTCATGCCAATTGTTTCAAAATCTTGCAAAAATGCAAAAATAGAAAACATATATTGTGAGTTAAATCTCTGGTATTTTGTTTTCTGTCTTTGTTTATTTTTAATTAATAATATTTAATTTTCAAATGATTACAAATTCTATCATTTTATTACCTATTCATTTTCTGATCAGATGTTGTATCAGAGCATTGATGTGTCTGTTTTCTTCAATGATGAATGTTTACAGTATTTTCTGTGTTAAAGACTTGAAACCAACCTTCCCATCATAATTGTAGACCATACAAATTATAATATTGCAATTTGTTTGAATGATAGTTATTATACTCACAGATGAGCATAATTAGAGTCCCCCTGAATAGTGTGTATTATATATTAAATTTCATAAAGATTGACATAATGAAATTTGTGCTGCTTATGGTTTTAAAAAACACTTTATTTTGTTTCAGGTTTACGAAGAGGGTGATTACAGAAAAGTCAGATTTGTTGGTCGACAGAAAGAAGTAAGTTTTCCAAGGTGTAGAGATATTTGGAATGCACTGGAAATTTCTGTCTTCCTAATTATGCATGTTTTCACTTCTTAAGCTACAACATTGAAATTGTAGTAAGGGCACTTAAATATTCAGAATAGAAAAGTCACCATAATCTGACCAGACCACAGGGCTGCTGTCTCATTAGAGAGAGATGACTGGTGGTGGTTCAGCTGAGGGTCACCACGTTTTAGGTGAGGGGTGAGATTGAGCAAGGGTCATTCATCATAACCTCAACCAGTGTGGGCAGTGAACCCACATTGTTGATGGTTTGCATCGTGAACCAACTAAGTGGCCCCCAGTATTCAAACTCACTTTAGTACTAAAGCACAAGGTGGCAAGGGTGCTAAATATACTCTGGGGGATTTCAAATCTGCCAAACCACAGCAAAGTGGCTGAGCAGCAGCACTACTGACTCAGCTGGTTGGGTCCTAAAGGCGATAGCTGCTGTGCTGGGCCAGCAGCAGGTGGTGAGGGAAAAACATAATTGACCTCATCCTTAACAACCTGCTGGCTGCAGATGCATCTGTCCAAGTCAGTATCGGTAAGAGTAACCACCATACAGTCCTTGTGGAGACAAAGCGATAACAAGGTGTAGAGCTGGATGAACACAGCAGGCCAAGCAGCAGAGGAGCAGGAAGGCTGATGTTTCGGGCCTAGACCATAGGGTCTAGGCGGCCCGA